TAAGAGAAATATTAAAAACTATGACTTGGACAACCCCTTGGGTCCCCTTCCACTGTGGGAGCTTTTCTTTCTGTCCTCTCAATAAATCTTGCTTTCTCAAAAAATAAATAACTATTACTGAAAAAAAAACTTTTCAGAAATAAAAACAGACTTTTACAGTGAAAGAGGATTAATCAACTGAGAAACTGACCCAGAAAAACCAATACTGATATACATTCCAGTAAAGCAACTGGTCATTAAAGGAAAAATAGCCTTTGGGCATCCAGGCAAAAAGACCAACAATGTTTCAAATAAGGAAAAGAAAATCATATTGAAATCAGAAGGCAATGGAATAACTTTTTTTTTTTTTTTGAGTTGGAGTCTCACTCTGTCGCTCAGACTGGAGTGCAGTGGCCACCGCTCCCGGCCACCGCAGCCTTGCCTGCTGGGCTCCGGTGATCCTTCCACCTCAGCCTTTAATTTTTTTTTCTGGAACTACAGGCGCGCGCTACCACGCCCGGCTAATTTTTTTTTTTATTTATTATTAAATTATTAAATTAAATTAAATACAATAAATTATTATTTATTGTAGAGATGAGGTCTCGCCAAGTTGCCCAGGTGGGTCTCGAACCCGCAGGCTCAGGCAATCCACTCACCTCAGCCTCCCAAAGGCGTGGGATTACAGGCTGAGCCACCGAGCCCGGCTGGAATAACATATTTAAGGTATTTCATAATAAAAAAAAAGATAAACCAAGGATTTTGTACCAAATCAAGCTGATCTTTAGAAATAAAGGATACGAACTGCTATTAAACAGGCAAAATTCAGGGGATTATGTTCTCATGAGCCCTTCTACTAAAGAATAAGCTCCAACTCCCAAGAAATTACTGAGAAACTTACAGAAGGACTGATGGTAAACATTAAATATATTACCTGTAAACTAATAACAAGTAATGGAAATGAAAATTATAGAATGGTATACAATTAGTCACACGTTGTGACCAGTTAGGTGTCACATAACTATAAAAAATATGGAGCTGGGAGAGGAAATGAAGAAGAGTGTACAGAAAGTACAGAAGCTTCAAATTGCCAAACAGATACTAACTGTTAGTAATAGGGTGTCATTTTATATTAGATGAGGAAGAAGAGGGAAGGAGAGGGAAAAGAGACTACTTTCTATTTCAGTATTGTTCATAGTAGAGAACCAAAAAACTAACTACAAAAGAAATAAGGGGATCATATAAAGGATCAACACAAAGATATAAGTACCTTAAGAGAGGAATAAAAAGTTATCAGCATAAAGATATGAGAATCATAAGAACAAAAATATACTTTGCCTCAAATATCAAGTGTAATATTTTCAAGAAAAGAAAGGGAAAGACAAAGAAAACAGTATAGTTTTAAAAAATGTACTAAGGGCTGGATGCAATGGCTCACGCTTGTAATCTTAGCACTTTGGGAGACTGAGGCAGAAGGATTGCTTGAGTCCAGGAGTTTGAGACCAGACTGGGTAACACAGTGAGACCTCATCTCTACAAAATAAAAAATTAAAAAATGGACAAGTGTGGTCTCAGCTACTCAGGAGACTGAGGTGGAAGGATCACCTGAGCTTAAAAGGTCAAGGCTGCAGTGAGCCATGATGGAGCCACTGCACTATAGCTTTGGCAATAGAGTAAGACCCCAACTCAAAAAAAAAAGTACTAGGTTTTCTGAATATATAATCCCTTTCAATCCTCACACAATCCTGTTTTATCCCAATTTTACAAAGGAGGATGTAGGCCCAGAGAAGTTAACCACATAGGAAAGTATGAAAACTGGGATTTGAACAGAGATCTGTCACCTGAATAATTTCTATTTCACCATGCTTTGTGATGATTTCCTTACTTGTTAGAATTTGTATATATATCAACTTTTGTTCCATTTAGCTACACATCTATACCTGTATAATTATACTTTTAAAACTCACTTATACAAGGATTAAAAATTAAAAGCAATGGCTAGTTGAATTATTTGGAAGATCTAATATACTGATGTTATAATGAAATTAAATCTCATTTCTATTTTAGGTTCATAGATATATTTAGGAGAGGAAGTAAAGGTTTTAATAATAAAAGTAAGAACTTTGGAGTAATATTTTAAGTTGTAAACCTGATTCTGCCAGTTACTATTTATATAATTTCAGGCAGGTTTCTTAATCTCTTTCATCTAAGCTTATCTATAAATGTAAATGATGCCTGCTACAGTGTTACTATAAGGATTAGATCAGATGATCTATATAAAGCAGTTATCACTATCTCTGTAACATAAGTGCTTGATAAACTGGCTATTGTTATTGCTATTATTATAATCAGCTAACCATGAACACCATTTGTCATGTGTAGGTAAATATATTACATTCTCTATAAAAACACTTCATTGTCTTGCCTGCAGATTTTGGGTCATTAATATTATCTTAAAAATATAACGGACATTATATTTGAAGCATTAGGCAAGAGTCCTTTGGACTTGGTAAATTTTACTTTCTCAAAGTCTTGCTTGTTTTAAAAATAGGAAAATATCTGCAAACTGAAATGCCATTTGAGTATTCTCAGAGTATTTTTTTTTTTTTAATTAGAGACAGGGCTTGCTCTGTTGCCCAAGCTGGAGTGTAGTGACATGATCATAGCTCACTATAACCTCAAACTTCTGGGCTCAAGTGATCCTGGGCCTCAGTCTCTCTTGAGCAGGTAGGAGTGCAGGTATGTACCACCATGTGAAGCTAATTTTAAAATTTTTGTGAAGATGAGGTGCTCTCACTATGTTGCCCAGACTGGTCTTAAACTCCTGGCCTCAAGCAATCCTCCTACCTTGGTCTCTCAAAGCACTGGGATTAAAAGGGATGAGCCACTGCATTCAGCCACTAAGAATATTTTAGCTAGACATTCTTGGGGAACAAAAATAAAACCCAACATATACTATCAAAAATTGAAGATCATGAAGACTAGACAAATAAGAATATATGCAAAAGAAATACTACATGTGGGTATATTTTATGACTATAATGGAATCTTTTTTTTTTTTTTTTTTTTTTTTGAGTTGGAGTCTCACTTTGTCACCCAGACTGGAGTGCAGTGGCTGCTCCCGGCCACTGCAGCCTCGACCTCCTGGGCTCCGGCGATCCTTCCACCTCAGCCTTCCGAGTAGCCGGAATTACAGGCATGCACTACCACGCCTGGCTGATTTTTTGATTTATTGTAGAGATGAGTCTCGCTGCCCAGGCGGGTCTCAAACCCGCGGGCTCAGGCAATCCACTCACCTCAGCCTCCCAAAGGTGGGATTACAGGCTGAGCCACCGAGACCAGCATATAATGGAATCTTTATAACAGTTTTCATAATATAGCAAAAGTTAGCATAAGATGATCTAGCATGAATCAAAGTTCTAGTTACTAAAATGTCAATGTTTTTCTACTGAGTGAACTCTGGATGATGTTATACTAAAGCCACATTTTTGAGGGGATGTGTGAATAAAGTAGTTAGAATTAGGAAAAGTTTAATGGAAGAATTGGTTCTACCTACATAGTAAGTTTGTATTACCAATTTTCCAATAATTGTAGGGGAGTGAGACAACACGCAATAGCATATAGAGCAGAAAGACTACTTGTACTATTAGAAAAGGAAAAAAGGCAGAAAGAATATTTGAATAATGGCCAAAAACAACTCAAAGATGATGAAAAATATTAATTTACACAATAAATTCTAATTGAGAATTCAATACACTTTAAATAGAATAAAGTCAAAGAGATCCATACCTAGATACATCATAGTCAAATTAACAAAAATCAAAGACCGAGATAAGCTGGGCTTGGTGGCTCAGCCTGTAATTCTGTGCTTTGGGAGGCTGAGGTGAGTGGATTGCGGGTTCGAGACGCGCCTGGGCAACTTGGTGAGACCTCATCTCTACAATAAATCAAAAAATTAGCCAGGCGTGGTAGCGCACGCCTGTAGTTCCAGCTACTTGGAAGGCTGAGGTGGAAGGATCGCCGGAGCCCAGCAGGTCGAGACTGCGGTGGCCGGAAGCAGTCACTGCACTCCAGTCTGGGTGACAGAGTGAGACTCCAACTCAAAAAAAAACAAAACAAAACCACTCTCCAGGATAAACAGTATACTAAGCCATAATATAGGTTTCAATAAAGTTAAAAGGAATTAAATTACATAAAGTATATTCTCTAAACACAATGGAATAAAATTAGAAATTAATGACACAAGGAAATTAGGAAAAGTCAGAAATAGGTAGAAATTAAACAACATATTCTTAAATAACTAGTGGATCAAAAAAGAAATCATACAGGATATTAGAAAATATTTTGAGAGGAATGAAAACAAAAACACAGCCTATCAAAACTTATAGAAACAAATGTTCAAACAAAAACATGTACATGAACATTTATAACAGCTCACTTAGTCATAATAGCCAAAAGGTAGAAACAACTTAAATATTCATCAACTGATTAAATGGATAAATGTGTGCTATATCCATACAACGGAATATTATTCATCCATAAAAAGAATGAAAGCCTGGTACATGCTACAATATTTATGAACCTTGAAATTATTATGTTAAATGAAAGAACCCAGACATAAAAGGCCACATATAATTCCATTTGTATGAAATATCCAGAATAGGCAAATGCAGAAACAGAATGCAGATTAGCAGTCGTCAGGGGCTATGATGACAGGGGGCTTCCGTTTGGAGTGATGAAAATGTTCTGGAACTACACAGTAGAGATAGTTGCACAGTATTGTGAATGTCCTTAATGCCACTGAATTATATACTTTAAAACAGTTTAAAATGTTAAGTTTATGTTAAATATGTTTTATCATAATGAAAAAGTGTTGAAAAACAATGTTTTGGGAAAAGAAAATAATGTTAAGAAAACATTAAAAGTCAAAGATTTTAAGTAGATGCTCAGAATCTAAAAGAGAGAACCATGGTTTCTACAGATTATAAATATAAAAATTATCAATACATAATTATGTTCCATACTTGTATGTGAGGCCAAGAGGCCTCAAGTGTGGGCTCATCCTCTTCTGGATCAAAATCTGGATTATCACTTGGAGGAAGAGTACGGAAAATGTTAGCACTGATCTGTAAAGAAAAATAAATGTAAATTTATGTTCTTCATTGTGTAACTGAATTCAACAATATAAAGTGAAATTTTTTTTGCGATTACTTAATATAAAAGTTATGGCAATAAGCTTAGTTCAAAACCTATAAACCTCTTCAAGATACAAAGAAGGCAGGTGTTTGTTTCTCTCTTTTTCCCATTCAATAACTGATTTCCTTAGATCCCAAGCTACTGAACATTACAGATTACCTTTGGATTCTCTTCCTCAAATTACAAGTTGTTCTTTCCAAGTTTTGCTTAAAAAGAAAGAGCGGGAGGGGAGCAGAGAAAATTTGGGGGAAAAAAGAGTAAGGTAATTAACTCTACCTATCTCTAACGTGATTCTTTTCATCTTTCCACAATCCTTCCCATATTCTAATCCAGCCATATTCTATATTTACCTTATAACTTGGCGTTTGGTAAAATATCTCCATTCTTATACATATATACCACAGTAAGGGAGTGGAGGGAGGAGGCAGAATACCTCATTAATATAAACATAATTTGCTGTAATCCACTCTGAAACTTTTTAAAAGATGTATTCATCACTCTGAAATTGGAATGTACTTTTGAGAATCTTTGTTTTATTTTATATATTTAAAAAATGTTTTGTAGCAATGAGGTCTTGCTGTGTTGCCCCAGCTGGTCTCAAACTCCTGGCTTTAAGCAATCATCCGAACTTGGAGCTTCCCAAAGTGCTGGAATTACAGGCATGAGCCATCTGGTGCTTGGCCAGATTCTTTATTTTTGATTTAATGAAATACGGTATTTATAATTCCATCCTTCATATTATCTTAGTACTAAGGTAAGAGATTGTGGTCCCAACCCACAGTTCTTTTAAGAATGACAGACTGGCTGGGCTTGGTGGTTCAACCTGTAATCCCAGCACTTTGCAAGGCCGAGGAAAGTAGATTGCCTGAGCCCATGGGTTCGAAACTGGGCAACTTGGGGAGATCTTGTCTCTACAGAAAAACAAAAATTAGCCGGGTGTGGTAATGTGCCTGTAGTTCTGGCTACTTGGAGGGCTGAGGCAGAAGGATTGCCACAGTCCAGCAGGTAGATGCTGGGGTGGCAGTGAGCGTCCTACCGCACTCTAACCTGGGTGACAGAGTGAGACTCCAACTCAAAAAAAAAAAAAGAATGACAGACTGACAGACCAAGTAGTTTAGTAAGCATTTAAGGCCAAACTAGTGGGATGGATCATTTGAGTTAAAAGTTTCTGAGGACAGAGGATGAGAGAAGGGATTTTTCGACGGTATAAGCAAATTTCCAACTATTCTTATGAAGTAGCATCTATGGTAGGCAAATAACTTTGAGTAGTCAACTAGTATAACCATAAGACTTAAAAAGTAATAACCTAGAAGTCAAAACAAGTACTTAAGGGCAAAGCCAATAAACCGCTTGATGGATATCAATTTCTTTTTTATTAGTCGGAGTTTCACTCTGTTGCCCAGGTTGGAGTGCAGTAGCACACTCAGCAGCCGCAGCTTCAACCTGCTGGGCTCAGGCAATCCTTCCACCTCAGCTTTCCAAGTAGCTGGAACCACAGGTGTGTGCCACTACACCTGGCTAATTTTTTGATCTGTTGTAGAGATTAAATCTTACCATGTTGCCCAGGCTGGTCTTGAACCCCTGGGCTCAGGCAATCCTCTCACCTCCACCTCCCAAAGTGCTGGGATTACAGGTGTGAGCCACCGCGCACGGCCGATGGATCTCAGTTTCACAAAGAGTAGCAGAAAGCCATAGATAGAATTTGAAAAAAGAAACATATCCCACAAGAACATAACTTGTCCTTGAGGTCACACTTATTATTGTCAATAGTAAAAGAAAAAGTTAACCTTATAGCCACCAATAAAATTAACTGTACATGACAAATATTCCAAAGAGCCTTAAAAAACTAAGTGAATGAGATGGCTCAAGTCTTACCTAGAAATTAAATTAAGTACTCATAATTTAAAAAACAACAACAACAAGCCAGGCTCGGTGGCTCAGTCTGTAATCCCGTGCTTGGGGAGGCTGAGGTGAGTGGATTGCCTGAGTCCGAGGGTTCGGGACCGGCCCGGGCAACTTGGCGAGACCTCATCTCTACAATAAATCAAAAAAATTAGCCGGGCATGGTAGCGCACGCTTGTAGTTCCAGCTACTTGGAAGGCTGAGGCGGAAGGATTGCCAGAGCCCAGCAGGTCGAGGCTGCGGTGGCCGGGAGCAGCCTCTGCACTCCAGTCTGGGCGACAGAGTGAGACTCCAACTCAAAAAAAAAACCAAAAAACAAGCCGGGCTCAGTGGCTCAGCCTGTAATCCCGCGCCTTTGGGAGGCTGAGGTGAGTGAATTGCCTGAGCCCGCGGGTTCGAGACCTGCCTGGGCAGCGAGACCTCATCTCTACAATAAATCAAAAAATCAGCTGGGCGTGGTAGCGCATGCCTGTAATTCCGGCTACTTGGAAGGCTGAGGTGGAAGGATCACCAGAGCCCAGCAGGTCAAGGCTGCGGTGGCTGAGAGCAGCCACTGCACTCCAGTCTGGGTGACCGAGTGAGACTCCAACTCAAAAACAACAGCAACAACAAAACCCCAAAAAACAACTAAACATGCACCTTTTTACTTGGGAAAAGAAATTAAATCTCAGAATTTATTAAGATAGGGACTAATTTGACTCAAATATTTGAGTACTTTTGATATTGTCAACAACTTTATAGAGATTAAAAATATGCTCTCTTCCCCCAGGATTTTCAAAATTCCTGAATACAAACCATCTAAAATCAGGAACAGTGGGTAATACTGCTTCCCCACCCCGAACTTTTTTTTAAATGATAAAACAAAAGAAAAAACAAAGAAGTCTATCAATATTTAATATTTATATTCTCAAATTATCACGTCCTTTTAATTGTGAGAATTTAGGAAACCAGTTTCATTTTGATTAATGTTCTCTCTATAACTAATCTTCAAGATTGTTTAAGGTTTTTAAAAAATAATGTCCTAAGTCCTTTTGACAGGTCTTCTACAACAGTGTGATTAAAAAGAACTCAACTAGTAGTGCATTAGGGCCAAACTTACCTTTCTTGTACCTATTTGTCCCCCCAGAACATATATTAGGTAAGAGGAAGGAAAGGAAGGCAACTGTAAGTTATATTTTCTGCTAGCTTCTAAACTCTGGTTTAAGTTTAAATCATGTACTCAGTGACTCTCTAATTATTCCAACTGAATTTTTATATTTTGTAAGTATGCAATGAAATACAGAAATCACAAATACTAAACAAATTTATACTATTTGATGGAAAACAAGGTTGAATTACTAATAAACAGCAAATATCTTAAATAACCTTACTTCAATAAAGCTGGCAGTAATTTTTCACATCAGATATTATAATTGTTTATTTATATTCTTTAACTTTTTAAAGATCCTGAGTTTCAATTAAAGTGCTATACCTGACTCCCTTATCCACTGCTTAAATGTAGAGATCCTAGTTTTTCACTGGACTTCTCTTCCCTCAGTGACAATTCACCTCCATGACATTAACTATTTGTCAACCTGTATTATCTTGGGTGTGAATCTTTCTCTTAAGCTCTAGATCTGCACTATCCAATATGGTAATTCCCAGACTTATAAGCAATGACAGCATCAGTGAGTGGCTAGATAATCTTACAAATGAAGTATTTTTAAAACATTATTTTGGGTGTATTAATTATTGTACATTTATTTAAATTCAGTCTCATTAATTCACAATTATACCTCAGATCTTAAACTTATCTAAGTCTGAGGAACATAAATCTAGAGGCTTACCATTTTTACTATATCAGAATATGCTGATTCAACAATTACACCACGATTAGTTGAAACATACTCAACCAGTTCATTCAGTGTTGCTCTTTTAATTTCTTTGCTCTTCAAGTCTGAAACAGAGTCCATGAAATCAAACAGTATACAACACTGCTGCAACTTCTGACAGAAAAGCTCTTGTTGTTCATTTGAAGTAGCATCTATAAATAAAAATAAAGAAAAACTTAGAAATAACCTACTCAGAAGTTACCTTTATATATTTATCAATTTTGTAGAAGCTATTCACATACATAAAATAAAAAACTTCTTTCAGAAATTAAGTGAGAAATTTGCCCCATCACTCAGGGATTTACACTGAACTCCTCTCTAAGTACCCACAATCGATCGCTAATTTTTTTCTAAGAGATGGGGTCTTGCTACATTGCCCAGGCTGCACTTTAATTCCTGGGCTCAAACAATCCTCCCATTTCAGCCTCCTACATAGCTCAGACTATAGCAAAATGCTACCACGCCACCCAGATAACCATTAAATGTTATTGATTCTGTTTCCTTAACATATCTGAAACCTGTCCTTTTTTTGTCATTCCCATTGCCATTTAGACACTCACCATCCCTCGTAAAGACTACAACAATGACATACTATTGTTCCTTTTGTCTGGTCCCATAATTACTACTACTCTTGACTTATCTTCCAAATTAATTCAAAAGCTAAAATCTTGCTAACATTGGAACAGTAACTTGCTAACAGTATGTTCACACTCCACACTTTTCAATGACCCTCCAATAATTAAAGAATAAAGTTCAAATTCCTCTGGATTGTATAAAAAGTACAGCTGCCTATTGTCAAGAGTCATCCCACAACATGTTCCAGCATGCCTTCTCACTTTAGTTAAACTATACTCCTTGTGGCTCCCTGAAGATTATACACCATCTTCCCTGTCTGGAATGCCCTTCTTCCCACATTCCCACCTTGGAAACTCTACCTATTTACAAAGTTTCGGCGTAAGTCCCTTCTCAAAGGCTTTCCTTATGGCACTGAAGCTTACTTGGTTGGTTGATCTACTTTTATCTAAATATATTTCAAGAGCTATATGGCAGTATATACTGTGCTATATGGCAGTTACATTTTGCATATCTAACCCCTAGACTATGAGGTCCCTAAAAGCAGGCACCAAGTGTTTTTTTATCTAGTTGTCTCTATCTTTCTCTTTCTCCTTCTCTGTTTCTATATCTAGTACAATTCCTGTCACATAATAGGTACTTTTAAAAAGTTTATTGTTTTACATTCTACTTGTTACCAAAATATGGACAAACTATATTTATTTGATTGTAACAAATATATTAAATCCTTTTGTTTCCAACATTCAAAAAAATAACAAAACTTCAATTCTGAACTTTCAAATCTATAAACAAGGACCTTCACCTAGCTCAATTACTTAAGTTTACTGAATTTCTGAGATTAAAATTTTTTAAATCACATTCAACACTAATGTTTAACACATTAATATACAAAACTATTTCTCCATTCAAAACCAGTAACTACTTTATATAAAGACACAGGTAGCAATCTTCATAAAGATGATAACCTAATCAGGAATGCCCATGCTTTTCCATTTATCTTGGGCAGGAAGCTATTATAATAAAATTATTTCACAATTATATTCAGGCTGCTATCCTTAGAAAGTTGAATTAGGAAAGGTACTGCTAAAATGTAGCAGGTCAGATATTCTAAGCCTGCTCACACAAAGTCAGAAGACAAATACAACACATTTTCTTTTGTTCATTCGTTCATTTTGATTTGGAATCTCACTCTGTTGTCCAGGCTGGAGTGCAATGGCACAATCACAGCTCAACACAGCCTCAACCTCCTGGGCTCAAGTGATTCTTCCGCCTCAGCCTCTAGAGTAGCTGGAACTACAGGGGTATGCCACTACACCCGGTTAATTTTTTTTTTTTTTTTGTAGAGACGAGGCCTTGCTATGTTGCCTAGGCTGATCTCAAACTCCTGGACTCAAGCAATCCTCCCATCTTGGCATTCTGAAGTACTAGGATTACTGGCATGGGGCACCACGCCTAGCTAGCTAGCACGTTCTTTTCATTAGTCTGTTTTACTTAGTGATAATTCAAGTCATACTTTTTACAAATGTGCTACGTTATAAAGAATGGCAAAATTCACATGACTTTTGAAGTAAAAATATGAAGACTGAAATTGCTAGCAGCTCATTTTGTAGCTATGCTAGTAAAAACTTAAAGACAGCTCCACACTTACAAAGAACTTGTACAACACTCTCTATTCCAGAATCAATTAATGACTTTCTGCTATGAAGTCTAAAGTCTATAATCCTAAAATTGGCATTCAGAATCCACATAATATTGACACAGAGTATATGACATTCTCGACTACCATTTTGGTAAACTTTTTGATTCAGGGTCACCTTTTATATAACTGTTCTGAAGTGGAAACATTTTGATGTATACTTTGCAAAAGGATCATTAGCCAGGCACAGAGGCTCACACCTGTAATCCCAGCACTTTGAGAGGCAGAGGAGAGAAGATTGCCTGAGCCTAAGGGTTCAAGATCAGCCAGGGCAACTTGGCAAGACCTTGTCTCTACAATAAATCGAAAAACTAGCCCATGGTGGCATGTGCCTATAGTTCCAGCTACTTGGAAGGCTGAGGCAGAAGGATCACCTGAGACCAGCAGGTGGAGGCTATGGTAGCTGTGAGTATGCCACTGTACTCCAGCCTGGGTGACAGAGTGAGACTCTGAGTCAAAACAAAAAAAAAGACCATTAAGTTTGTGGCTATTTTTAATACCAAGTAATATGTTAAACAGTTATTTTTACCTCAGAATTACATTTCATTCTATTGGGGATAAAAATGACTTACTACATGTAACCAGCAGTCATATGTTCACTACCTTTTTTCATCCCACAGTGACCATTAGTCATTATAAGCAGAGCCTGCTCACTCTCTACAAAGTCAGCTGTATCTTTTTTTTTTTTTTTTTTTTTAGTCAGGGTCTCACTCTGTCACCCAGGCTAGACTGTGGTGGCGAGACTACAGCTCACTGCAGCCTCAACTTCCTGGGCTCAGGCGATCCTTCCACTTTAGCCTCCCAAGTAGCTGGGACTATAGGCATGTGCCACCATACCTCATTAATTTTTTTAAAAAAATGTTTGTAGAGATGAGATCTCACTATGTTGCCCAGGCTGGTCTCAGAACTCCTGGACTTAAGCAATCCTTCTGCCTCAGCCTCCAAAATGCTGGGATTACAGGTGTGAGCCACTATGCCTGGTCCTCAGTTGTATCTTGAATGGCCCTTTCCATAAATTTTCTGGTGCTATTTCCCCTTAAAGTTAAAATGGTTAGATGCATTTGATTTCTTTTTTTTTTTTTTTTTTTTTTTTTTCAGTTGGAGTCTCACTCTGTCGCCCAGACTGGAGTGCAGTGGCCGCTCCCGGCCACCGCAGCCTCGACCTGCTGGGCTCCGGTGATCCTTCCGCCTCAGCCTTCCAAGTAGCCGCAATTACAGGCATACGCTACCACGCCCAGCTGATTTGTTGATTTATTGTAGAGATGAGGTCTCGCTGCCCAGGTGGGTCTCGAACCCGCAGGCCCAGGCAATCCACTCACCTCAGCCTCCCAAAGCGCGGGATTACAGGCTGAGCCACCGAGCTCAGCTTAAGTTTGTTCTTAAAGGGTGATTATGGTTTCCAAAGATGTTGAGGAAATCTAGTAAAGTATTTCAGGTGGGGAAAATATTTTGAACCAAGACATGGCTTTTAGAGAATAGTAGGAGGATTGGATTCACATTGAGGATGTAGAAGTGGGAGGAAGGAAAGAATAGGACTGACTGTATAAGGTGAGCACATATTGAAGTGGGATCTTATATGTGCTTTGTATTACTTTTAGCATTAGGGAGAAAAAACTAAAATATTTTAAAACTGTTAGAACTGAGTTAGCCTCTGAAGGTATGGCAACTATTTCCCCAAATCATCATTATAATGGAATTTAATTATATTAATTATAAAGTATATATCATAATAAAGATAGAATAAAACTATATAATAAGGATTTAGAATTCCAGGCTGGGCAACTTGGCAAGACCTCATCTCTACACTAAAATCAAAAAATTAGCCGGGCGTGGTAGCGCACAACTGTAATTCTGGCTACTCGGAAGGCTGAGGCCGAAGGATCACCGGAGCCCAGCAGGTCGAGGTTGTGGTGGCCGGGAGCAGCCACTGCACTCCAATCTGGGTGACAGAGTGAGACTCCAACTCAAAAAAAAAAAAAAGAACAAACTTAAATCCCACATTCTCTACAAAATATCCCTTCTCTGAACATCTACAGTACTCACAGCCTCAATTATGCTGTTGAGTACCCATTATCTATAGGCCTTTATTCAACAAATGTTTCTTTTATCCATTACCAAAAGATTTCAGGTTCCTCAAAGGCAAGGAACTGTCACTGAGCAGGATTCCCTTTTATTTCTTTTATATCTGGTAGGGTGTATAAAAAGTTGACAAATACTCATTAGATGCTTTTAAAAACTCTAAATTTGAAGAATAAAGATTATGCCCTGAAAAACAGGTTACTGAACAAGGAGAAGTTCAAAATAAGTGCCACACATCAAAGGTGGCATAAATAATGAATTGTTACATCATGGAAATGTTTAAGAATTGATAACAATGACCATTTACATTAATATCTTCCTTGAAGACAGAATTAAATGGATGAAGTGAAATAACAATCATGAAGATGAGTGCATATATTTCAAAGTGAAATACAAATGAAAAGCACTTTTTCTTATACCACAGGCTAAGCAGCAGGTAGCTAACATGACAGAAGACACAAAATGATTTTCAGGATTGGTAAATACAGTCATGTGTCACATAACAAAATATGGATCAACAACAGATTGTGTATGAGAGGGGAACCCAAAAAAACCCTGGAATTTATTTATTTAAAAATGTGTATTTATTCTTACATGTTTAAACTTTAGTCACCTTACAGTAGTCTCTGTGATGCAATACACCCATTAAAACACTTCTTCCACTGCTCAAAACACTTTTCGAACTTGTCCATTTTGATGCCTTTTTTTCCACTGTTTTTGTTTCACCTCTTCCACATCGGCAAAACATTTCCCTTTGAGGATTTTTTTCATCCCGGGAAACCAAAAAAAGCAGCTCAGGGTGAG